GCCTTTGAAGCCAAGTACAAAAAAAAAATGCAAACTCCATTAGACAACAAACCCTATAACAAAACTAATCATTCAAATTCTGAACAGAGCATGCAACAGAATGAGACCAGGAAGAGCAATACAAATGCAAAAAGATGTATGTTTTATAGATTATGCAGACTTGTATGGATGAAAAAACCGAAATTGAACAACAAGACCGGCCAAGCTTGGATGTGGTAAGCCTGTTCACCAAGGTTCCTACAGATGAGGTCCTGACAGTGGTTCGAAACCAAGTGGAATCAGACCCTTTCCTGGGAAAATGTATTAACATTCCAATAGATAATCAGATGGAAATGTTGACATTCTGTGTACAGACAACATTCTTCCAACTAGATTCTGACCTATACCAACAGGAGGAAGGCTTGGCTATGTGTTCACCAAACATATACATGGAATACTTTTAAGTAAATAACTTTAGAAATGGCACCAAAAACGCCAACAGTATGGCCAAGATAACTTCATACACTGGTCACACTAGGAAGCTGTATAAATATTGCTGGGCCATGTGAAGTCAATAAGACCTTCAATCCAGTTCACAAGAACAAAATAATCAGCTGACCTTCCTGTGTGTACCAAGAACTTGCACAGAGAATGAATTAAAACTGCAGATCTGCAGTCCATACAACACCAGGACAATATTCAGAAGCAGTTCTACTCTATGAAGAAATCTCTGCCAAGTAAAGCCTAAAACAGGAGAACATGACCAAGAACTGTGTGTACTCAATTCCTTGCAGTTGTAGTAGAGAATATAAAGGTGAATCAAGCCATCCCTTAAAAGTAAGGCTGGAGGAACATCAAAAAGCCATAGTGAGAGGTGAGACAATGAAATCAGGCATGGCTGATCATGTATGGAGGAAAAGGAGTGGCCATCAACCACTGTTGAATGAATTGGAAACACTGGACAGGGAAGAGCACTGGAGAGTTAGATGTCTGGAAGGATCATGCTAGGCTATGAAGACCTCCTTATTTGGCCTAGCATAGCAATAAATACAGTATGGGAGTCGCTAATAAAGAAAGACAAATGACAGCAAATCTGCAGTAATCAAAACATGGGCAGCAGCAGAAGTCAAAACATGACAACCAGCAGCAGTGGCAGCCTAATTAGCAGTGAAGTTTAGGTTTAAAACTATGTTTACTCCAGCAATTGTCCAACAGAGCAATCATCTAGTAAAAGCATTGCTTTATGAATTTGGTGACATAGTGGTTGTGAGTTTAATCCCTAGATCAGACAGTGTGTACATGTACTCAGTGAAAATAGGCAAACAAAAACTGAACGGTGCTAAATAAAATATTAACTAGATGATATTCCCAGACATAAACAGTGGAATGAGAACAGTCTACCACCATAAATTAAATAAAGGATTGAGTTCATAACTGAAGTAGGCTAGAGAGCACAACAGCTGAAATATTGTGATAACAACAACAAAGATGAGGACAATAGTTCAAATATAAATAGTGTAAATAATGATGACTCCACATCTCAGAAATTCAGACAAAAATTATGCAAAAGCATTTGATAAGGTATGACACAAAGAACTACTTGAACTGCTAAGTAAGCTTGATTTATTTTGGAAGGATATTAGAATAATCCAGAACCTATACTAAGAGAATAGAACCTCTATATCGATAGAAAATAAATTCAGTAAATAAACAAAGATAGAAAGGGTCATAAGACAAGGATGCACCTTCTCACTAGACATATTGAATATTTACAGTGAAGCAATTCTGAAAGAATTACACATCCTACCAGGATTCATCATTGGAAAGGAAACAACAGGAACTCTAACAGAAGGTAGTGAAGGAATGTGAGAAGAAAGGACTAAACATCAATTGTAAAATGACAGAATGTATGGTTGTCAGCAAACAGAACAGCCTAATATTCAAATTACAAATTGGAGATACCTAAAAGTAAAAAATTTAAATATCTAGGAAGTTTTTTTAACAGATGACAGAAAATGTGAGACTGAAATCTGAAGGTGCATTGGGATGGTGAAAGTTGCCTTCCAAAAGCTAAGCAAAGTATTAAGAAACAGGAAAATTTTGTTAGAAACAAAGAAAACAATACTGAACTTTTATGTAATATCAGTCCTCCTATATGACAGTGAATACTGGACAATCTCCTCACAGATAAAGAGACTTGAGACAACAGAAATGTGGCTTTACAGAAGGGAGCTGAGAATAACATAAACTGAACATGTGAGTAATTGTTAGCTGCCAAGACTCTATGTGCCACTCTTTGAGTCATTTCCTTGTAGATATAAATGACCCATTAATAGGAAAGTCATCTTCATATGTCCAGAACTCCACCCACTTCATGGAAATAATTAAAGATGCTCCCATCCAATCCAACCAGATTGTAAGCCCGTTTACCAAGGTATGCATGGAGGAGGCACTATCAGTAGTCAGGGACAGACTGGTCTTGGACTCATTCCCAGAAGAACAAATCAATATACCAATAGATAACCTGATAATGATGCTGACTTTCTGTACACAAATAACACACTTTGAAATGGAATCAGATATATATCAACAGGATGAAGGATTAGCAATGGGCTCACCATTATCACCAGCAATGGCAAACATATACATGGAATACTTCAAATAAATGGAATTAGAATCCACATCACTAAAGCCAAACCTATGGTTGAGATGCATAGATGACACTTTCATACTCTGGCCAGACCAGGAAGAGGTCCAGCTACTACTGGATCATGTGAACTCAATAAGATCATCAATGCAGTTCACAATGGAAAGAGAAAATGACAACAGACTCACCTTCCTTGATATACTAATGTCTCGAACAGAGCATTAGTTCAAGACATCTGTATACTGCAAGTCAACATTCGCCAGACAATACCTTAACTTCAACTCCCACCACTCATACATTGTAAAGAAAGGGATCATCTGTTGCTTACAATATCAAGCAAAAGTCATAAGTGGTGACCCAGAGATGTATGATCAAGAAATGGTCAGTATAAGCAGTACCCTACAACATAACTATCCTGGGTACATGGCAGCAGCTCCAACAAACTGGGATAGAAGGGTACAAGAGAATAACAACATTCAGAAAACAACTTCAGTCTGCGTACCCTATGTGAAGAGATTATCAGAGAAAATACAAAAGATCTGTGGTCCATATAACATCAGGACAACCTTCAAAAGTGGTTTGGCACTTCACAGACAACTCATTCTCATAAATAAGCAACAATCAAATTAATGAGCATAATTTTTAAATAATACATAATTTAAGAAAAGTACTAGTACTATTCACATATAACAGTTATCTCCCTTTAATTTTCTATGTTTAGATTTTTTTGTGTGAAAGTTTTTTCAGCAAAGTGAAGATTTGACTTAACAGTTTTGATGAATCCAGATTTCAGATAAATGACATTCAGTTATGATTTAGAATCATTTTTCAGCACATAGTTTGGTTATTCAATAGGTAAACCAAAAATCAGATATATAGACATTAATAAAACACAAGAACGTTTACAGCATTTCTGACTGTTCATCAGTCCTCATAGCTTATATCATAAATATTAAGATCAAAGGCAATGTAATGCTAATGATTACTATTTAAAGTTATCTGAAACAGCTTTATCAATTGTACACTTTAATGAATTAAAAAAGAAAAAGAGAAAGTTTTCATTTTCTTTAAGAGAAAAAAAAACTCAAATTCATATCAGAAAATAAAACAAGTAAAAATTTAGGAGAAATTTTAGTAGAATCTAACAATAATTGATTTTTAAAAAATGTAATCAATTTGTGTTTTTCTTTTAATTGATTAGGAAATTTTACTAGAAAAATGTATAAGATATTTATAATTTGTACTTTTAGCTTACTGGTAAATGTTTTTTATTAAAAAAAAGTAAACTGTTTTAATGGTAAGCTTATTAATATTAATAAACCTTTTAAACAGAAGTAACAAAACAAAAAGTTGGTCTTCAAACAAATGTGATGCCAATTGTTGAGCTCAAAGTAATACTGAAAGAAATCACTTTCAAAATAGGAAAAAAATAGTTATCTTAATTAGATTTCAAAATTAGAAAAATAAATAAAAGTGAACCAACTTGGATCTATAAATGAGAAGTTTTGTTAGAAGCAATAAAAACATTTAATATTTAAGCTACTTGCAGCTGGGTAAGTTCATATTTTTCTATAATCTACTAATCTTTGATTAATGATTGACATAACTGCCACTTTAAAATGAAGAGAAAAAGCCTCCATGAGATACTAGTTAACTATTAGCCTATAAATTAGTTTACCCAATAACTTATTTGAATTAGCAACTTCATTAATAATTCAAATAGTTGCATTTAAAACCTCTTAGCTATGAGTTTTGAAGGTTTAAACTAATTCCAAATCCCAAATCATCTCTTATTTTTAAAGAAAACCTAATAATAGTACAAAAAATATACAATTTTGTGTTATCTTAGTGAGATACTGTATTCCAGAAGACAAATTATTAATATTACTCTATGAAATTACTTATTCATAATAAATGTTATTAAGTATAAGGCTGTGTCCATTTTTAGAATAAAATACTTCTAAAGAAAGAAGGGAAATCCTAGAAATTGTTTTGTTTTCCCACTATGCATTAAGAAGCAATAATGAATAATTGAAATGACATGAAGGAGAAACAAGCAAACTGTGACAAAATGTTTCCAAATATTAAATTATGAGAGTCATGGATAAAATATAAATTCTCCATGGAAAAATATGGAAGTACACTATTAACAAGTGAAAGGAACAAGCAAGTCAACAGATTGAGCAAAGTTCCACCTGCATTTTTTTAAACTTTTTGGACCAGAGTTCAAAAAGACAATGCACTTAAAAGCAGCAGTAAGAATGGATTATAGAAACCAACTCAACCATAAATGAGAAATCAGTTATAGCGCAGCAAGAAGAAGAATGTAAAAGTGTGGCAAGTATAAATCCTACGATAACCATTCCAGTCGCACCTAACATTGATCTGTTCACAGGGAAGATAATAACGGGGCGTCCCAGCATCCTCCAGTGATGACTCAGCGTTTCAACATCAGACTTAAAATGATCCATGATGAAGCTGTTGTCTAATGGCAGATAAAAGTGCAAGTTATCCAGAAACTGTAAGCAAACAAGAAAATTAAAGAGTGAGATAATACACTGGACCTGCAAATAAGAAAATAAATAAAAGTAAAACATTTTAAACCAGATTTCTAAAATCCTTGCCCACTTGATGCCAAAAACAGTCATTAAATGAGAATGCTGATTGCATTTATTTATTAAAAATAAAAATAGAAAATAAAAGAACTGCTGTCCTGAAGAACAATCAGGAAGAAAGAATCCATTATTAAATAATACCCATAAGAATATTATCTGAAAAGAAAAAAATTACACTGCTGAACATACAATAGGAATTAACATAATATAATGTAAATTTAAAATGTCATAACTAATAAATAAATGAATACTATTTAAGCATAATCCTCTGTCACTATGAGAAACTAGTAGGGAAGAAAAAGAGAACCCCATCATGCATGTTTTTTTTTTTTGTTATTGCTTACTTCAATAAATTAAATTTTTGATTATTCATTATCTATTGAAGATCACAATAGTGGTATATATTGACAACATTAATGGCATCTTTTTCAGATTCATCACAAAATTGAATATGAATTGCAGTTTGAAAGAATGTTTAAAAGGTATGCAGAAGTTTCCAGCATTTTTAGAAAATGTGTATTTAGTTTATAGTTTTCAGAAGAAAATTGTTGGGAAATTTCACACACCAATAACAACTTTATCTTCCAAGATGATAAAGAAAATGAAAAAAATGTTTTATTATTTCAAATCAAATTTTCCCAGAACAAAATCATTTATAAAACCAAATGTGGTTAATTTTCATGTGAATATCTTTAGTGATTTACCAGCAGATCAGTTTTTAAAAAGTTTTTTTCTGAATATACAATCAGACAATATTTATCATACTTTTAGACAATTAATATTTAATCAACAAACAAGAAAATGTGTGATGCTTAAAAAAATCATTTTTTTAGTTACTTTTAATCTTTTATATTTTAAAACTGCCAGAGAAGTAAAAACATTTTATAGAGTAAATGTTAGATTAAGAACATCAAAAATAATATCTTGTTGAATGTGATCTTTAGAAGAAGGATTATTTTGAAGTGTAGTTGGCTGAATACCAAAAATAATGAGAAAACAGGACATAAAACAAGATTTCCATGTAAATATTTGTTTACCAAAGTATGTGCCTATTTAAATGTATCTATATAGTGGACTTATTTTATATATTTACAACTTTAAAAAAAAAAAAAAAAATTCTGAATCTCTTTGACCTTTGACACAAACAATAGTGTATGCTCCTGACATTACAACTATTAATATATTGGGGAGGTGTTGTCTGAGGAATAGGGACCTAGTTACCAGACTACTTTCCATTGCCTACCCAAATACAGATGTAATATAGTAGTTACATATATGTTGTTATATTCTGCTAAGAATACATGCATTTAGTAGGTAATAAGTCTCAGTTACATAAGTAAAAACAATATTATATTTAGATATTACCTGAGGTGCGAAAGCCAAAATCTTATCACTCAATGTATACAATTTGCTGGTGGCCAGGAGTCCAATCTCAGAAGAGGGACGACCAGTCAGACCAAGACGTTTATTTTTTCCTATAGTTGGGGGGAAAAAAGTGGGATAACTTTGGAAATTCTTTTTCACCAAAACAAAGAATTATAAATTTACAGACATTGCATTTATAATAATAAAAAAACATTTAATTCTGAATCAAATTACTCAAAAAAATAGTTGGTTTCATTGCAGGTAATAAATTTAAGAATAATACAATAAACTCATCCACCCCCCCCCCACACACACACACACAGATATATGACACGTTTGGCAGAGGAGAGGCATATTCAACATTTGATAATTTTGTGGCAATACACACTTAAAGGTTTTAGGCAGTTTTGATCAACATTTCTTTTCATGGTTAGCCATAAGGAATTGTAAATGTAGGACTACCTTACTTAAGTAAAATAATAAAATAATAAAATTAAGAATAACATTGGTGGCAGTTAATGTATTTAACATAATAAATTTAAAAAAATTTTAATGATATAATTTATTGTTAGGGTATTTTTCCATTTTCTTTTGTCAGGAGAATTTTCATTCAGGTAATAAATTTTTTCACACACACACACAGATATATGACACGTTTGGCAGAGGAGACAATTCAACATTTGCAATACATTTTAAAGGTTTTAACAAACATTTCTTTAATGGTTAGAAATTGTAAATAAATTTTGATTCTATAATTTTATTAAGAATTTATTACAGGAGATATTTTCAGAAACATTGTTGACAATTATGTATTTTTACATAACAAATTGGAAATCATAAATTTTGATTCTATATTTGATTTGTTGTTAGGTATTTTCCATCTTTTTGTTATTGGCAGCATTTTAGAATGCTTTGGCTTTAGTGCTAAGTTTCCTAAGTTGAACAAACTGGAGCTATTTCGTTTATACTTTATTACTTATTTTTTCTATTGTTGATTTTAGATTGCTTTCTTCAAGTTATTTTGATGGGCAATAGCAAAAATTCTGAAATTTAGAATGATCTTATTCTATTTCAAAAAATAAACCCTGTAAAAAGAAATATTTTAAATTAATATATGACCAAAAATAAAATGCTTTTGACAAAACCTTAATGATTTCACTATAATTATATAACAATTCAATGTAATGATATTCCACAGACAAAACTACAGTTTATGTTACCTCATCTCATTGCATAGTTACGGAGTATAAACCTAAACTGAGCTTGAAATATTGTGTAATCAGTTCTAATATTTTGTAAAATACTTGGATGGGATATAATGAATAATTTACAGTGAAAAAAGCAATTTTCGATTTTTTGTTGAATATGTACCTCCTCCACTGAATGTGTCATATACAGGTAGGAAAGTTCCCTGCCAGGTTTTATTTTGTAAGGTAAGAAATCAAAATAAAAAAAGAGCCAAGAAGAAAAAAATGCGCTTGCTTTATACAGCTGAGGACTGACCATAATTTGCATGCGAATTACGAGACAACGAGATTTCACGTTAACTGTCCGAGACCGCCTGGCATAAAACATGGGCACCGCCATTTTGGTTCTTTTTACCGCTGAGCAGCTGGATTTTGCATGACGCACAGATTCGTGGGCGTTTCTGAGGTAAGCCGTTTTCACAATTTTCCCCACATATTTTAAACGAGTTGCAAACAACAGCCATATTTCAAAACCTTTTTTCTTAGTTCAAGTTATTTCACTAACAATCAGAAAGATATAAATAAAGTTTTTGAGACGTGTAATGAGGAAAGGAAGGAAGGTTTGGAGAATTTAATACCCACAGGAAACATCAAAGGCAAGTGAAATAGAAGAAAACAAGTAACCTATTTGCTAAGTTTTAGTAGATGGATGGAAGCGCAAATACGACAAAGAGAAATTAGAAGCAAATATTACTGAGAGCAACAAAAGACGGTAAGCCATGGAGAATTATGATTGTTCACTTCAGATTGCATGGAGAGAAGAAAAAGAGAATTTTGACTGTGGCAAAAACTAATGATATTCCATCATCACTGAGCAGACCCTAAATTTTTGCCTATTGTGATAAATGTGTGCTTTGAGCAAGCACCTATTGGGACTTAAGCTCACTTCAGATCTTAAGCAGAAACTTGTACATACAATACATCACTAAAGATGATGGAAAAATGGTTGATTCCCTGTACTCTTCCAGTAAGTACCCAACTCCTTGTGCTATTCTTTATCTTTACAAGAGCTAGATCCGGGTGATCATAAGGGTAGATCAGGGTGCTGTCATATATGGGCAGGAGCTGCCCAATCTTCTCATTCCAGTCTCAATAGTCTAAAAACCATCCACATAGCCTTGTGGGTGATGAATTACTTTCCATCCTACAACCACTTTCCCCACAGACAAAAGTTTGCAAGTCTCTCACTACTCTAGTGCTATTTTCATGGAAAGTGTTCAGACAAACTACATTTCTTAGTTCTACCAGTTCTAACCCTTCACAGCTAAGATCCACCATACCACACATTGTAGTGAACCACCTTCATTCCCTTTGTATTTCATGGGTGAAAAATAAGTTTCACTCAAACAGTTTCTTCCCATGAACTGCTACTTTGTGGAACCAACATCCAAGAGGAAGCTTCTCTGATCACTACGATCTTAACCTGTTCAAGTTTAGGATTAACTGTTATCTTTCCCACATATCTACATAAACTGTGCTCCTTACCTCATACTCTGTAACCCTCTACCTAGAGTGGCTCTTGAGCCTTGTACAAGGTGAACATTATTATAAAAAAAGTTTAAATGAAAGATTTTTTTTTCTCCGTATATAAAATGCTTTGATGAATTAGACTTTGTTCAGATATTAAAGAATATATAACTTTGGCTGAGATTGACATAAGGCCACAAATGTAAAGTGCTCAGTGAAAACTGAATTCACTACAGTAGTAATGGTTGGTGACACTAGCTTGTTAACCATTATTGTATAACAAGTCCCTAATAAACACTATACAAGGGTTTGAAATCATGATGGGAAAATCAGAAATGTGACAAAATATATATTCATACTGGAAAAAAAATTACTAAAACTTCCTATAATATTTAGAAATTTCTAGTTTTATAATTTTTATAAATCTTAAAATGGTTAAAATTGAGTAATTGAGCTAAAACAAAAAAAAAAACCAAAAAACAACGTATTATGGTTTTGATATTCAGTAAAAACAAAATTCCGATATTTGATGAAAGAATCAAGACACTTTGTCTGAAGTAAAATATCTTCTGATATTTCTGATTTGTCAAAATTAAGTTTAGGTCATGTCATACAACACATTCAGATATAATCAAAACATTAATGGCAGACAAAAGTAAAAATCTCACCAAGAAGTGAATAGATATGGCTGAGGATTCGTGCAGGATAAACTTTGATTGGTTCAACTTCTGCTGTAGTTTGGACTTCAATTCCAAAGTCTGAGAGACGATCTTGAATATATTCATCCTCAGCTAAAATCACAACTGAATAAAAGAAATCAAATTCATTTGTACTGTATTAAAATTAAAATGAACATAATTATTTCTAGAGAGTTTTATTTTGTAATTCACAAGTCAATTTCTTTATTACAAACAATATATAAAAAAAATAACATACAACATCTTCATTCCCAACTTGGGTAGCCAGATAGAAATACAAGATATCCTATTCAAATTTAAATCATTTCTAAGAATAATTTTGTACGATACAATTTGTCCCATACTAAAATAATATTTTGCTTTAATTTACATATGTACATGGTGTTCAATTCTATTATGCAAATTAAGGTTTTCACAGTAAAATTGGTTGATCAATAAATTCATTTTCACCACTAAAACTGATACAGCACACTGTGAATATATGAAATTTGTTTTTGGTTTGGTTTGGTTTGGTTTGGTTTGGTTTATGGCAATATCAACCTTAATGGGTTATTTAATGCCGAAAAATTTTTATTGCTGGTAATATTTTGCTTTGTCAAAAAATCAATTTCTGGTAATATTTTTCCTTCAAAAATTTATTGCTGGTAATATTCTTTCCTTAAAAATGTATAGCTGGTAATATTTTTTCTTCAAAAACATACTGTTGGTAAAAATTTTTTTTTCGGAGTTAACTATTTAACTCCCATAGCTGGGAACCTAACAGGTGCTACCCCCCCCCGGGGGTGGTTCCACACTACTCAAACCCACTGGATCAGAGGCCTTGCTGCTGGACATAGTTTATCATATTACCCAGGATGGGATTAATTTGTTTTGCTAATGCAGATAAATGTTTTTTGTAAAGCAAGTGATAAAGAAAATTACCTTGGACAACGACATCAGGTCTGGGAGTTGCTACCAAGCGTCTATTTAAAGGATCCAGTTCACCAGGAGAGAGAAAACCCTAAAAGATAATGATTTAAAAAAAAAAAAATTGAACTACTTTCTTACTTAGTTTCAAAAGCAGTGGAATAAAATGATTCAGATACCAGATATTGGGAAGATATAAGAAAATACGTGATGGACAAAGTCAATTTTTGTCTTAAAGATATATTGCTGTAACATTCAATGAGGAACAAACTTCTATTGCCAAGAGCAGTTAATGTATCAAACATACAGAGGTTGTTAAAAAAAAAGAAAAAGCTGTGAACATATTCAACCAAAAAGATTTCAGCCTTAAAAATTACAACTAATAAACTCATCCTCTAAATATCTGATAATAAATAGCAGCACAAAAAATATGAAACCTGCTTACTTCATAGATGAGTCTTCCAAGGATGTAGAGAGATTGGGCCCACAGATGAGGCATTCGACCAATGGCTTTACGTTCCTGGGTTTTAGGATTTTGAATTTCTGCATCAACCTGTATAGAACACAGAAATAAGAAAAACATTCCATATCAACAACTTTATGGACATAACACTAATTCTATATTTTATTCTATAAGTTATTTAAACTAAGAACTTGCTACTTTTATTACAAGATTTTGAAAGATGTATTATTTAGCCTTCCTCAGATGTATAGATTTCATTGGGTAAATATTTTTCTCAAAGATGGTTCTAGATTCCTGCAAACTATAGTAATCCATTAGTTAGTCCGAACAGAAATCTAACTACAAGTAGTAACAGATCAATTTTCTTAACACATACACGAAATATTGACAATCTGCAGGTAGATTAGATTAAAGGCTCCAAGTTCTACACTCGGAACAATAGCCTAGTGGATTAAAGCATTGGTTCAATTTCTGGGCCAGGCAGTGTATACTTGGACTCAGTGAAAATGGGGTTCACAATAACTGAACAGAACTAAGAAAGAACAAGATGAGATAAACATGGACAATAGAATGAAAACAATCTATTCCCATAGATTAAATCAACGATTCAGTTTGAAATTCCCTAAACATTATTACTCAAATTAACAAGCACTTGATGAATGTCAGAGGGCACAATGGCTGAAATGTGATAACAACAATAAAGATTAAGACAAAAATTCATGTGTGAAAATGTAAATACTGACAATACAATTTTACAATAATGAAAAGCAATTTTTTGCTCTACTTGGCATAGGTACTCCTATATTGGGTTTGCAAATGAAGTTATTTGTCTCTTTTTTCTACATTCATGCCAGTATGGTTCCATGATATTGCCTATATAATAAAAAAGTGTTATGATTTCTTTCCAAATGTTTTACCAGAGATTGTAGCTTCTTGATATTCTGTTTATCATGTTACTTTTATGTGCCATATTTCTTCAGAATCTGGGTGATCATGGCTCACCACCATTTCCTGTCTTTTTTAGTCTAAATAACTATTAACTGTTTACTAACCTTTTTTTAACCTGCTCTGCCATTCATTTACACAAAGTTGTTAAGTAGGTTACTCATCATTTCCCAAACTTTTCTTGCCTTCAATATGTCCTGGGAGTATTAAATTCTCTCAGTACTCTTTTTTCATTACCATAGAAACTGTCACTCTTTCTGACTATAAATTTCTTTGTAGTTACTTTTTTCATTAAAATTTCTTTGTTGCTCACTTGTTCAGTCCATGATATTCATGGCATTCATTGGTAGAACTACATCTGTGTCAATTAAAGTCTCTTCTTCAACTTCAAGACAATTGTCCAGTATTCACTACCATAGAGATTAGATATTACATAGCAATTCTTTTCTTTGCTTCTAACAACATTTTCTTAGCTCTTAATGCATTGTTTAGTTTCTGGGAGATACTTATTCCCATGTACCATTGGATTTTTGCCTTACATTTTTTTGTTGTCTGTTACTACATAACCCAAATAGTTACATTTCTGCACTGGCTTGATTTTTATGGACCTGTTATATGCTTACAAATACAGTTGATAAAAATATCTTTGAAAAATGCATATGAAACCAAGGATATAAACTTCATCCTCTAGAGCAAACACAGAAAGATGATAAATTGAAGAATAAAAAAATATGTGAATTACAAACTTAGCCTTGAATGGATGTGGTTCTGTCTCTACATCCCTCCACCGAGGGCTGCTTTGCCCAAACAACATTCCTTCTTTGTTCTGTCAGCAGTAATTTAGTCTCCCATTGATCAGAGGCTGCAACAGGTCAGTTTTACTTTAGTTTTCTACTAAGACTCAACAAGAAGACAGTATTATCTTTCCATCCATCTTCATCTTGTAATATAATTTAATGATTGGAAGATTTAGTTTATCTTTCCCTACCACAAGTGCATATTTTCCTAGCAAAGAGGTTGCATTGTGTAGTTTTGACATGGAAATTTATACTCATTTTGTACTAGCCATAATTCTGTTAGATGGGGAACTTGATGTGGTATAATGGTTAGCAAGCTTGTCTCACTGAATGAATTACAACTGAATAGTGAGTTCAATACTTTTGGCCTCATGCCACATCTAAGATATGCTTAGAATATCACCATAAATCTGTTAGATGTTTCAGTCATTCCTTATTGTTGATGCATAATTATTCATTAGAAGAGTGAAATGAATTATACATCTGGCTAAAGATGAAATGACACATTGACTGAAATCTAGTGATAAAAACAGAAAGTCATGGAATAATGATAATAATACATCTCAGAATTTCAGACAATATTTCTGAGACTTTTTAATTGAGAAATATATGACAAAAAAAATAATCAATTCCTACTGTTTAAGGTTTTCTTTTTTTTTTACTCTCAAATGAAATCTTACCTTATCATGTGGTACTTGATATAATTCTGGAACCAAAGGAATTCCTTCTTCGTTCTTATGCAAAAGGCTATCTAGCAATGCTCGATATTTTTCAGTCTAGGAAAGAAAATAGAAATTTTAAAAAAAAAGAGAAATTTAAAAATGTTTCAGATGTTAAGAGAAAAGAAAAAACAGCCAAAACAAAGAACATTTTAAATAAATGTGCAGATCATAACATAATGAAGATTCTTATGGGAGTTTTTTAATATTGTGTAGCATATTGCTATTAAGTTTCTGTGTTTTTTAATACATACTATTTTTTGTTATATTAGTAATTTCTTTGTTGGTCATAAATGACTACTCTTCTTTGCCTTTTGATATCAGAGAGAATTTTTTTCTCTGAGAAGGAAGTTAGAATGAATCATTTTAGCATCCAATATTCTATTCACAAACTGATCATTTAAGACTCATTGATAAGATTTGAAACATGTTTTCTTTAGCTTATAATTTTCTTTTACATTAACAGCAAATAAGTTTGCCTAGAATGTGTGTTCTGCAAAAAGTACCACACACACAAAATATATATGTGGATAAACATTGCTTTTTTTATATATGTAGGTCATTATTATTATTATAAACAAACTAGAAAACTCTGCTATGCGATCTTGATAAATATCAAATCAGTTTTGAAAGATAATAGATGTAATGAAGACTTCAAGACTTGATTAAAATTACCTGTTCCATGTTGTTTGTGAACAAGCCATCAAGGATAAAGAATGCAAAGAACAAAGGCCATTCACATTCAATATTTTCAAACTTCATTAGTTCACCTGGTTCATAATGCAATCTGTTGGGGTCCTACAATATTAATAACATTTTTTTTTAATTATGTGAATATTATTGAGAAATATTTGAAATGTGTATGTCAAAGAATTTAAAAATAATTATTGTAAGCATTTCAATTATTTGTACATTTTTCAAAAATATTTATATACTAAAAAAAAAAAAAAAAAGTGAAGAAAAGAACAGCATATTTTTTAATGGAGTATTTATTTTTAAAAGATTTATTTTAAACTTTCTTTTATTAAGCAACAAGAATAATACACACTAATGTAATGTTAGATAAAAATTAAAGTTTTATGTAATTGGAAGTGAAACAATGTATCATTATTCACTTTTTTTTTCTTGCTGTTGCATTGAATTATATTCCATGAAATATAAACTCAGGTTAATATCAAGTGCATATTATTTACTTAATTGTGGTTTAAAAATACCATTAATAAAAGAAAATATGTAATCTACATTCTTAGATTTGCAATAGATTAAAATATACATGTACAGTAAAAAAAAAAAAAAAACTCACCTCCCTAGGTGTTTTGTAGCCATCTCTGAGGAAGCGGCTACAGCCAAATATGCCCTAAAATTAAGAAATTATTTAATCAAATTAAAAATTATTTTATCATATATTTACATGTGGCTATAATAAAAACAAACTAGAAATTAATAATACATATAGGTGTATCAATAAGTTTGTAGCCTAATGTTCCTTGTCATAACACTTAATTCAGTGACTAATATTAATATATTAATCAAAGATTGAACCTTATAAAGTGAACATTTCAGGTCCAAATTCAGCTAATAACTAAGTGCCAAGCTAGAGGCTTACTGATATACCCTCATAAATAAGAAACATTCTTTGCTTATAATAATATACTTTAAAAATTATAATAATGCTGTTTGATGACTATTAAGTTGTACATATCTAAAAATCCTTTTTATATCCAAACAAGACCAATTTTCCTAGAATTAAATCATTCAAATACAGACTAATCATTCTTTTCAATTTCTTGTTGGAAGCATTTGTTAAGTATATATTAAAGATGTAACAAAAATCTTTAAAATTCACTATTATTAAAAAGCACTATTATTAGTTATGTGTGAGACTAAGTGAAGCTTTAAAAATATTACATTTTTTTAAAAAATACTTTGATGTTTGCTATCATTAAATTAATTTCCCAAAAGTGCACAGGGAAAAATTCATGGAAGGATGCTTCTGGACAAACTTTCAGAATTTCTAATTCTGGTGAAAAATTAAAATGTTCTAAATTTGATGCTAAGAATTATATATATATATATATATATATATATATATATATATATATATATATAATGAAATGGACAAAGTCCGACAATTATTTTAAGACAATTTTTATGTTTATACATTCTTTTCATAGATACAAATATTTAAGTAAATGCTCTGTTTATAATAAACAGTATTAAACAACATTTACCAGCCTGAATGTCCAAAAAATTTTCATAGAAAATATTCGTCTTTCGACAGGAATCAAATGTGTATCCTATACGGAACCATCATATAGCCTGACATGCCTTTAACCGATTGGGCCACAGAGGAGCATTCAGTTAGCAAAGTCGATTTTACTGTCTTTAAACTACAATCTTACATGATTCTCTCATGTACATTCGTATCTGCTCATGGCGTATACAAATGTAAACAAATGATGTCACACATTATGAAATTGACAAAGTCCGACAATTATTTTAAGACAATTTTTATGTTTATACATTCTTTTTATAGATACAAATATTTAAGTAAATGCTCTGTTCATAACAAACAGTATCAAACAACATTTACTGGCCTGAATGTCTGAGAAATTTTCATAGAAAATATTCATCCTCCGACAGGAACCAAACCTGTATCCTATACGGAACAGTCATATAGCCTGACGTGCCTTTAACCGATTGTAGTTTAAAGATAGTAAAATCAACCTTGCTAACCGAAAGCTCCTCTGTGGCCCAATCAGTTAAAGGCAAGTCAGGCTATATGATGATTCCTAAGTGGTATATGACCAATAACACTTACAGAAATATGACGTCCCTTTCTAAATATTTTTGGAACTTAAAAGAAGTTAACAAAACCCCTACCGTAAAATGGAAAATACTAAAAAAAGCTAGAACATGTAAATCTTTAAATGAACCTTGCTTCTTATGCTTACATGAAAAATTAGAAATTACCCGATTTGCTGACAAAAAAATCTCTGATAAACCAAAGAAGTAAATTAACTGTTACAATATAGTTAAATTTTTTAAAAAATTAAGTAATAGTACCAATTATTATGCCATAATTTATAAGCAAATAACAGTCTACACTCTATGACTAATTATCTTATTTTGTTTATTTAAATTTAGTATTGCCATCCAGTTAGTATTATTTATATCTTATAGTTTTAATTTTATCTACAGGTTCCTTTAAGAAGCTTCCTGAATGTAAAATTAAAAAAAAAATTTTCTGTTAAAATTAACTTTATGTCTGATTATCCTCCATCCCTTCCCCTCAACATCCTTTGAAAAATTGATCATGTCATATTTGTCTATAATCAGAATACATTTATTGCTTACATATTTTCTGTATTTGTCTCATGATGACCTAAGTTCTGGTGTGTCATGTCATGTAAAAATAACTCCTCCACCTCCACCCTCTGAACTTAATTTTCTATTTAGTGTAGATCTGACATTTAATTGGTTGACCAAGACAAACCCACAAGTCTAATTTTAATTCTGATCTTGTGTTTTCTCACCTTCACCTCTTTACCTCTCAGAAAAGAGGTAACACCTTGCTTTTGAAATTTTCTTAAAAATTATTTAAATCACCAGTCACTTACCATCACCTGAGGAGGTACAACGTAGTACAGGAACACAGAGCTATTGTGTAGCAATTCCAACATATTTTTGCTATATCTTATAATAAAATAATAATATTCTACTTTGTATTGAACACTTTTTTAAAAGTAAATGCTACAAACAGTGGAATTTTATTTCCTCTGTTCTCTCATTTACACACACACACACAATTACTTCAAAAACTAAAATAAAGCCATTAAGACTTAAAATAGAAAATGCTTAAATAATCACCCACCCCCATCAATATTTTTTATACTACAAGCATAAAAACATTTTATAATCTTTACTGTTAAAATTTATCTGTGTGATTTCTTGGTTATTTCATGCTTTTTATAACTTTGAACAAATAGTTAATGCCAAAAATTCTTTAAAAATTTCGAAGTTTGATGGTAGGAAATAATACATTACAGAAATTAAATCTCTCTCTATATATTTTTCAACCAATAAAATGTTCCAAATCTGACGGTGGGAAATAAAATATCTACTATTCATCAATGTTCATCTTATATAATTAAAAGATGAAAACAATTTCCAAACTTACTTCCAACTTCTCTTGAATTTGAGTCTTTGTTTCAGCAATTAACTCTGGTTTGTCACAGGCAAACGCTGGGAAACTGATAATAGTCATCAGACCAGCATCAATTTCCTGGAAAGAAAACATTAACAAAAAAATAAATTGCCTATTCCAAATCAAACACAGCAATTTTTCTCTTTTAAAGAAGTGACATCTTATTGAAGAAAAACAGAATCCATGGAGCTGGTATTATTAATTATAACAGCATTCACTATTAAATAATTTAGCATCAGAAAAATTATTCATTTATACAAATTAAATAATAAAAAAGTTAAATTAATTGCCAAATTTATCTTAAAAATCAGTGATTGACAGAAATCAACATCTTCAAAGTAATTTGTTTAATCTGTCATTAGCCCTATTAGTTTCAAATATTTCTGCCTTCAGTTCCAATTTTAAAAAAAAAAAATTATTTTATTATACTTTTAGTAGAAGAACATATATCTCACCTTAGAGTTGGATTCCCGGGGTAACATGGAATGGAGAATCGCCTGCAATTAGTATGAAAATTAAAATATAATAAAAATCCTCAAGATTAAAAACATTATTAGAATCATAAATTTTCAAGCAAGAAAAAAAAAAATTTACATTGTAGGTATTAGAAATGTGCCAAATATTAATGTTTTAGCAGAATTTTTATGAAGAAAATCTACAAACTAACCTGACATTGCTGAGCCTCATCAGGGAGGACATGGATGACTGAACTGGTTCCACCTCTTGAGCCAAACAAATCAAGACCATCAATAGCTTCCAAAGCAGCCTAAAAAGTAAAATTGTAAAAATCATTGCTTTTTTTGTAATATATAAATTTATTAACTAAAGTGTAATAGTGTTTTTCTCTTGTGTTAATTCATCTTATCCTCTGCATTTATAGTGCAAGCTTTACTTCACTGAATTATTGTGGAGAAATAATTCTTAGCTTTATTCAGATAGTAATTCTAATAGGTTCATAGTAGGTACCTCTAAAGATTTGCTAAAAAAATGATTATACGTAATGCAAAAATATTCCAAACTTAATAAAAACAAAACTTCATCCTCAAAATATTTGTTAAGAGGAAAGACCAAAGGTATTTTTGACGATTAAGTTATATTTTTTAATCCTTTCTAAAAATTCAAATTTTTTTTTATTCTTACATCGTTGGGTGAAAATATATTAGTATAGGAAATTTTAGTCTCTTTTTACAGTGATTTGAAAATTCTTGCAAAAATCAAATAATTGTCAGATTTTAATTAAATTTTCAAGACTTATTCACAAATGAAGGAAATTATTTTAGAAATGTTTCTTTAGAAAATCTTGTCCAAAAACATTTTTACATCTACAAAACACTTAATTTATAAAATTTCAAGATGTTAATTTTTGTATGGCATAATGCTTATATTAGTTATAAGCAGATGTCTTTGGAGAATTAAATCATCAATTTTCTAAGACAGGACCTCCAATTAAAGAAAATCTGCTCTGAATTGTAAAATAAAAAAATGCAATAAAACTAAGACATTATTTAATAAAAAAAGCTTTTAAATGCTTTTAAGAATAAAATATATGGACACTATTGTCACAGGAAAAATTTTCTTTTGATGAATAATAAATTTTTATAAAAATTGTTTTCAGTTTTTTTTTAAAATTAGAATAATTTACAAAGTTTTAAATCTTTTAAAATTATGTATTAATTTGTACCCAGCTAAGTGATATTATTCTTAAGTAAATACTATACTTAATAATCATAAATGGAAAAGTTTACACTTCAGTGAACCCCAGTATTTTAAAAAGAATTTTGAATTTTTTGTTTGTGTGTAAACATGCCAATTTTTGAAAATACAAATGCCCATCTACAATATTATCAGAAAATAAGAGTGGTAACTATAGTAAATTTAAAGCCAAAATACCTAAAATTCAATAAACCATTAGATTACAGAGAACAGTTTCCTAAATTTTTAAGATTACCGGATAATTAAAAAGTTATATAAAAAAAAGTACTCACGTTACATTCATCAAATTAATTTTATGCATATGGCCCCTTTAGAAAAAATTAGTTAAATTACCAAAACACCAGGCTGCAAATAGAGCTGCCAACACCTTATAAAAACAACCACCTCCATATTAAAAAATGCTTTTCTGTGATATTTTAAACTAAAAGTGATATTTGTTTCAACTCAGACTGATTAAACTTTAAATCGGCTAATCTTCCTCAAAAAGTTTCAGAAAAGTATATTTTATTTTTGAAAGATTTTTTAATAAAGAGAATTACATTGTACTGAGAGAATTGTAAATAAGGCTAAAATCACACAACTTCTAGCAATTAAAAAAAAAAAGAAGTTATTCCAATCAATTTAAATTCATTTTGAAATACAGCAAAGTATTTTGCTTATTGGAAATATTAAATTTAATCTATTTGTGACACTATTAGAAAGCTGCTAGTAAATTGAGAAAAAAAACTAGAAGACAGAAAAAACACTAATTTCTGATAGACTGAAAATATACCAATGACCAGATGAGAGAAAATGAAAGAATAGGATATTTCTTTTTTTTTATTGGAAAAAAAAAAAAAAAAAAAAAAAATAGAAGGTAATTAAATTTCTCACCTGCCAGAGGTAAAACAAAGAGACCATCTGGTTTTGATTAAGAACTGAGATTAAATGATGAGCTATTCTGGAAGTCCAAGGAGCTCCCGGAAAGAAATAGATGATATTTTTATGACTATTGAGTGACGGAGAGGAAAATAGACCACAGGCCATGAGTTTGATTGATTGATAAGGATTAACTTTTAAAAGCAGACAGGTTCCCAGAAGAAAATGTGTAAAGAATGATAATTAAATTTTTCGTCTGCTGAAACATGATAAAACTTCCAAAATCAAGGGATTGTTCCTTTTTTGTCACTTGCTGGCCAAAGGGTTGACAAGGGGATAAAAAAAAAAAAAAAAAAGATAAATCCCAGATGCAAAAACGACCGCACACAAAGCATAATAAGAAAGAATGTTGAACAATAATTAAAATTTACACTAGACCACGCCTAGCCCTTGGGGGATGGGTTTGATCAGGTAACCAAGGAGGAGAGGGCTCAGGTGGAATTTCAAGGAAAGTGAAGGACTTTCCACACCCCCTCGTGCAGTGATGGTGAGAGGCACTCACACAAAGCAAAAAGGAGAAGGCCCAGGTAGAATTCCAAGGAGGAGCTCCCTCATACTTGGACATTGGCAGGGAAAGCCCCAACTGGTTGTTTGGAGAACACTGGTATTTGTATGATTTTGCCCTGGTTTTGTAGCATGGAGTCAATGGCATTGACATGCGCACATCCTCAGTCTTTTTTAAAAGTAAGTATATTTCTTCTACACAATATATTTGATAAAAAGTTAAGAAATAAAAGTTTTTAAAACAAAAAAGTTAATATAAATGTCCTGAAAGCTATCGAAGTCACTAGATCTTCAAGGGAAAAACTCAAATTAAGGAAAAAGAAAAAAAACTAATTCATTAACTACTAAAAAGATTAGTCTACTTAATTTCATTTGTACAGTTGATTCTCTGCAAAATGCAAATATTTCCTAATGAAGAGAGTTCCAAACCACTGTCATCAAATGGGTTTATTACAAATCTATCCCAAATAAAAACCTAGCAACTACACAACTTGCATCTCTGACTGGAGGTGATTATCTTTGTCCTAAATTATGATTAACCTAGAATTATTGAGAAAATCTTTAGTAAGGAACTTGTTAGTGATATCCACAAATTAGCTAAGTAACAACTATAGTTAATACTAAAAATTAATTATTGTTTTTATTGACCTCTGCTTTCTGATTTAATAAGAAATAGTAACTGATTCTTAGTATTAGATGTAATTATTAATTAGGTATTGCTAGCTATCACTAACAAATCCATTACTCAATCTTTTCTCAAGAATTGTAGGTTTGCAGTAATTTAGAGACAAGTTTTCAGTCAAAGACAAAAGGGTTTTAGCAAGAGAACAGTAGTTATCTCCCCTTGACCAAACAAATACAAAAATTAAAATTAATTATAAATATTTACAAGAATAGAAAACAGTCACATGACCTGATGAGACCTGCACAAGAGATCATTAGGTAGGAATGTCAATGTGCTCCAGGAATTTAAGATGCATGTAATTCAGGCTTGTGACAAACCAAACAAATAAGTACAAAAATTCATATTGTTTTTGGTACATAGTATTTTGAAAGTAGATAAATGCTAACTTTGTATTAAGAATTTCATATTATAGAATTATATATATATATATATATATATATATATATATATATATATATATATATATATATATATATATATATATATATATATATGCAAGTGTTATTAGATGAAGACTTTTTGTGTTTTATTTGAACTTTTCATATATTATTTATGCTGTCATGTTTCATTCACTTTCTAAATGAGCTCAATGTTTCATATCCACACAACAGGATAACTTGGCTTATTACCAAGGAAAGGAAACTTGAACTTACAACTGTCCAATTCTACATTATAACAAAAATTTGGCTTTCTTTCATTTTAAACAAAAATTCTAGAATTTTCTCTTTCTGGCAAGAAGAAAAACTTTTAAAAAAATTAATTACATTTTTAAAAATGAATGTTGATTTCCCAGAAAAAACTTCTGTACAGCTTGAATATTTTGATGTAAAAGAGAAACTGTACCTATTTACAAAGTCTTACATGCTTGGTGAAGACACAAATATTGAATCATTTCAAACAGCATCAGGATTACAAGGAGAAAATGAGATCCCCAATCAATTTAATCTCTTCCTAGATTATACTCTGAGCATATGCAAGCACAGATGTTAAGAAATCATCAGTAATTATTTTAACTTTATATGCCACATCCTAAATGAATCTACTAATAGAAAACAGTGCTCCTGTTTTCCATCAGGCCAGTGTACTGACGAGGAGTGGAGCTATGCTGATGACATGTCATCAGTTCTCAACTTGGTATTTATGCTGATGACAACTATTTACACATCTTAATAGTAAATCTGTATAGCAATATGAGTCATGTTAAATTGAAAACAGCTGGACCTGTCACAAAAATGGATATGGAACATTTGCTTTCAACCGATTGTTATCAGTAAGAGAAGTCAACTTCAAAGTACAGAGCAAGAGGCTCAGACAGAGAAAAAGTCACAGAATGAAGATAAATTACTTTTATTTAAGCAAAGATGACAAGACAAAGAAAATTGCTATCTATAAAACTGACCATCCCACAAAAAGGCACACACAGTGGGACTAAGCAAGCCTCAGAGAACGGACAGGGAAGCTAGCTGTTAGACTGTGCACCTCCCCCTCATCTCAACTTCCCTCACTTATAGCAGCAGGTTACAACCTGAGAATAAAATCTAGTTTACTGCTAGAAATTGTTTCATTTTTTACACTTGTTGGTAACAATCTAGCTGAAGGGTAATTTTTAAGCCACAAGCATTTGAAGAAACTTCACCCTGTCAATGAACCTGGTGTCTGGTCTGAGCTGCGATGCAACATCTGATCATATGGTCAAATTGACAGCTGATCCCCAAAATGACCTACAATCTGTTGTTAACAAGGGCAAGAAACGGCTTGTTAATGTTAACAGCTTCAAAACAAAACTACTTTGAGAGAACCCTTTTTGTCTTCCATCAGCATGATTGGTGCTAACCTCCAAGAGAGTGATTCATTAGGCTAACATTTTCTGCTGACTCGAAGGGGAAAGATTATATTAAATCAATTAATTAGGTTTGCTGCAAGGAAACTTGGTTCAGTGTCATGTT